GGCAAAAGCACTCCACACCTTTCCGCTTGATGACCCACGCCTTACTCCTCGAATGCTTCGAAAGGCGATAAATTCTATCCATAACTCTCAGACTGGGCTTCTGACATCTAATATGCGAGATGTGAGAAGCGGGCTGGTGAACATGCTGGACCTGGTCTTATGGGCTGAAGCGAACCATGACCAGCACGAGATGGACGAAACACTACGTCAGTCGGGCGCCCCGCCATCCCATGAGTTACTACGCTGGCTAGCGCACAGTTTGAGAGAACGCTCGTACGAGACTCAGCCAGCGATGGAGTCCAGGCAGGCATGGAAGTTGTACAAAAGCGAAACGCTGAGACAGCAGCTCAACATTGATGAAGCAGCGCTTGCGGCCTTCGCAAAGGACTTCGAGAACGCTTTGACCGATCGACTCACGAACGGTCGAACTAGACCAACAGCAAATACCTCCATGCAAGAACTCTTGAAGGCAGCAGAATACAACACGAAATACAACGCCGAGGCCAGAAAAGTTAATCCCGAGCCCCCCGAAACCTCCCTCTTCCACTCCCCAGCCGCGGACTCGCAAATTGAAGAAGCCGAAGCCCGGCTCAACATCACCCTGCCAGCCGACTACAAGACCTTTCTCCGCCTCAGCAACGGTTTCGGTTCTTCATGGGGCCACCCGCTAGGCGACCTTCAAACACCTCTCCATACCGTCGATGAACTACGCTGGCTCGACTCAGCAGAAGAAGACTACTTCACCGACCTCACGCTTGACCTACCCACTCGATGGGATAAATGGCCTTTTGCACCCCCTCCAACGAAGAAGGCCTATGCTTGCGACGAAGTCACAGAGCATTTCCTCATCGGCCGTGCATTAGAGATAGGTACGCAGGAGATTGACAATATGTGGCTTCTCCCGCCTTCTACCATTACGCCGATAAAGCAGACTGTGAAGAAGATGTTGGAAGATGAGACACTGGGTGAACGCGAAAAGAACAGTGTAAGAGTTGCGATAAGAGATTTTGCGGGTAGCGAAGAGAAGTGGGAGGAGATGGAATGGGCGTGTGTCACGTGGGCTAGTGGAGGGGTGGCGGCTATGTATGTTTATCCGAGTTTTAGGGCGTGGCTCGAAGATGTTGTTGAGAAGGGTAGGGTTGGGTTGGATGGTGAGGAGGGCGGAGAGGAAGGGAACATGTTGAAGCGTGGTATGTGGTTGGGGAGGGTGTTTCAGGATAAAGAGAGCGGGGATAAGTCGGACGCCGAGGATTTTCCGGGGTGGTTGAAAGACGCGATCAAGGCGGCGATGCCAAAAAGAAGATGCTGAGCCCTAGGAGATGCAGCTGTCGAATCTGTAGTCCATGTCACGGAAACGCAGCCCGGGCTAGGGTAGAAACTGGAGCTTCTGGACTTTGGGCTTGGAACCAGCTCTCTTTGTGCACGGTCCTTGCTCTCATGTGACGAGAAATGGTGGGTATAAAAGCCTTCGTTCCTCCTGCTTCTTTCCTTCTCTCATCATACAATTCCACTTCTGAAATATCAAAAAGAAACTCGCCTATCTCTATGGCTGTCTGTCCTGCGCTTTTCGGTTCCAATACTCGAGAGGCGTGATGCATGATCGATCTATCGCCCGAAAAAGTCCGCTGCCCCCAACTATGTGCAAAGGTCTCCGTCAAATATCACGAGTTGGAACTGATGCTTCTGCCTTTGGCATCTTTGAACAAATACTCGTCAAGACTCCGAACCCAGGAAGCACGAAGAGACTTTCTTGAGCCGCCACTGTCTTCCAAACTCAGTGGCCGTCAAGATGATGGGTTGTTTACAACGGTCTTCTAACAAAAAAGCCGGCAGCAAGCTCATATGGTCCACCAAAAACATCAAGCGCTCATACAATGGTTTTGGGGCGCTGGCTAAGTATATATACCGCTCTTCTTGGGTCTTTCTCACACTATATCACCATCCTGATCAAAATCGAAAAGAGGAAGGGAACGGTCTCATGTCCTGGGCGCCTCCTTCTTCTCTCGAAACGTAATCGCTACTATGCCATGGCTGGAAGAAAAAAGACTAAAATCGTATGCATCAGTTGCTACGGGCACTCCAGATCTACAGTTGCAAACACTCCCCCTTTTTTGAGAACAGAGAAAAGTCATGGCTATGAATACATGGACGAGAAATTGTGCCATTACGTTGCCGAGAGCGACGTAAAAAAAAGGGGCTTGATTACATTGATGATCTTCTTTGCTGCACCCGACTACAGGAAGTGTGTGTATAAAAACGCCTTTCACACCTCACTGTTCTTCTCTCCTATACCTCACGGGCTTTTGCTTGTTTTGTAAAACGATATAGCAGCATCGTGATGTCTGCGTCTCCTCCTCTCTTTCAAAATCATGTGGAAGTCGTGGCATGTCTCTGGCCTGTTCTTCGAAGACCGCGTACCGCCGAATCATATCTTCATTCGCTGGAACAACAAGTTACATCGAGTGGCTTCCATAAAAGCGCGTCCAAAATCCCAGTTCGAAGGCAAGATTCTCCCTACTGCACTCCAAAATTTACACACTTTCTCCAAATCAAGATTTCACACAACGATGTCTGCTTCTCCGCCCTTTCTCTAAAAGCCTTCAACGCTCGCTTATGCTTGTGGAGATGTCGCCGCTAGTCTACCACTTTTTGAAAGCATAAAAGGTTCATTATTCACGAGATACGTTCCTGCATCCTAGGCATACGACCTCTTCTTTCCTTCGAAAACTACAACACATGAAGATATGTCTGCGGCTGACGCGTCCTTTTCAAAAACCCATTTGGCACCGGCATATTCCTGGAGGATTTGGCGGAAAAATCGAGAAATGGGCAACGATGTTGATAATCACCACTGGTTCAACTTGATGTGCCTGTCCTTCTTTGGACTTGCAGCTATCCAAATGATCGAAGTACAGTTGCATGGAGAAGAGATTGTATCCACCATGCTTGCGCGAAATGAAAAGTGGAGAGCCTAAATCAATACCTCAAAAGGGACATGTGCGTCCTGCCTTCTTCGAGCTATGCTAGAGACGTATTTAAAACTGGCGTTTCTCTCCCTCACTTCATTCTCTCAACTCAGCTCTGCCTTGATGTGAAGAGCGAAAACATGTCTAGCAAGATCCTATGAGGATTGGCGAGAACCAAAACCACCGATGAAACCCTCCATGTCTGGCCTGCTTCGACTGTTCCCAACCTATATTAGGATACCGCTGTTTTACAACTCCTTCTACGCTTTCTCCATCACCCATTTCTGCGTGCAAAAGATCAAAAGGCATACAAAGCAAGCTGATGAGAAGTGAAAGGGCAATGTCCGCTCTGCGCCGAGCCCAAGCTACAAAACCGGGTTCACTTAGACATATGCTCTTCTTTCCTCTGCTTTCCTTCAATCTATACCCGAGATACCTACCAAAAAAGATCGGCCACCAGTATATGAGAAGCAGACGACCAAAAGACTCACTCTTACTACTACTACTTGTCGCGCTGGGCTATAAAACACTCTGTTTTCTGGCTATGCTCTTCTCTTCTCCTCTCATACATCTATATTTGAACTTGATGCAAAAAATGGAATAGTTTGGTCGGATGAGAGGCTGAGAGCTCAAAAAGCCATGTTCTTCATCTGTCATGTCGGAGTTTCTCGGAACAGGTTACGAAGCATAAAAATACACCCTCCTCTGCTTCTACTCCATTCTTCATCAACAACACTTCCTTTTGCAGATACCAAAAGGGGTGTTCAAAGAGGCGATGAGAAGACTGAGTCCGAAATGCTAACTCGAACGCTTGATGTCCTTGCTTCCTGTACGAAGCAGACATATAACAAGCCTTCTTCCTGGTTCTTCTCCCTCTTCTCCACCAACCTTTTCCGATATCTCTTCTCAAAACAGAATCAAGCTATCGCTATGTCCTGAGTTCGTTCGGACCAGAAAACTGGTACAGGTCCTCCCATGTTCTGACTTTTGCGCGTCTGGACGCAAAAGGTTGCAAACCGCGACATGTGTTGCGCTCTTCCCGTCTGCAAGTCGATCATGTATATATCTGGAGTATGTAACAGTATATGTTACAGACTGTCTAAAAAGTAGTCTGTGCCAACGAATGTTTGGCTTGCTTGTCGCAAGCGTGCACATTTAAATTTAGACATGCGTGTTAGCGTAGTCGCGTAGTAGCGACGGAAAGAGCATTACTGTAAGATGTATGGAAGACCAGTCTCCTCCGCTTTCACACTCTTGTCTTCTAAACATCTTCTACATTTTCTAAAAGACCAAAAGCTTGTAGATGTCCGGTCATGAGAAGCAGACGACAAAAAGTCAGTCATCAACAAGGCTATGTCTGACTTGCTTCAATTTCTAAAAACCTTACCTCGAGGTACCATGTTCTCTTTCTTGCCTTTCGCTGCAATTCTACAACCTAATTTTGAAAATATCATCCAAATGATCAAGAAGAAAGGACATGAGAAGAGATTCCTCCCGAAATAACATATCATGCTCATCATGGGCAACTCGCTCCGAATTGGCCTACCGAAGGTCGAATGCCTGCATTATATGTTCTTCCCACTGTTCAAAAGAATGGCTACTGAAAAAATGATATCGAAGGAAGAGGTCAAATTGCCATGAGAAGCAGACGACCAGAAACATAGTCCTTAAGGCGGTATGACTGCGGTGCTCGCGGCGGGGTGCGAAGGGTATAAAAGACCTTTTTTCTGCGATACTACTTGCTTTCTTCATAGCCCAGGCTCTGGGAACATTACCAAAATTACAGAAATCTCCAGCCATGAGAGCAGAGACTGGGGGATCAAAAACAAGATTCGAGGGAGACGATGTTCTGAGCTTGTCTGGAGAGAGGTTTCCAACGTCGATTGGCAGGGCAAAGTGCGGAGAGTTAATGACATGTCCAAAGACGTGGACTGTGTCCGCGATGCGAACCGCCTTCTCCGTTGGACGAAAACGATGTCTACCTCATGTTTGTTCATATTATGCATTACTTCGTATCAAGTCTCCCATCGCTACTCAGCCAGGCCGTCTGACTTTCTTCAACCTATTCCTCCAACCTCTATCCTTCCCACTTTTCACTTCTCTTGTATCTTTCGATGTGTCCGCAGCCTCGGCTTCTTTCTCCCTCGGATATCCGTCGTCTGAAGCACTTGGCCCATCATCTCGACTCCGTCCCTCGACTCCGAGATTTCGTTCCCACATCCCGTTCCCCACAAGCGTCGCCTCCCGACTCAGCGGCTTGCGACTCAGCCTCGCCTCCTCCACACCTCTCAAGTACCTCTTCCTCAGTTCTTCGTCGCTGAGGACGTGGACAGAGAGATCTGTATCCGACCTAGCCAGTGGTCTAATCTCCGTGTCGTCCTCAGTCGGGGGAGCCATCCACGCTTTTTCCTTGCCCGCGGACGCGAAAGCAGTAGATGGCGTTGACAACAACGGTGTAGGTGACATCGGCGTAATGGGCGACTTGACACCACCATCTGTATCCGTATCCTCAATGTCCTGCAAAAAGAGTCCATGTTCCACAACCGTCCCTCTCGTCCCCTTCTTCCCGTATAACTGCCTGCCCAACGCCCTGTTCTTCGCACTAATAAGATCCTTCCCGCTCAACCCCGTGCGCCTCCTCGCCGCCACCGCCATCGCAAACGCCGCGCGCAACGGCGTAAGTCTGTATCCCTCCTTGACTAGCGTAGAATTGAACTGTGCGTCCTGCCACAGCACATACATACTAAGCACCCAGGCACTCGTGACAAACATGAACAAACCAGCCATGAGTGTCGAGAAACCCCATTGATAGGTCGGATTGGCAGTGTCGGGGAGGCAGCGGCTTTTCCCGATGAGCGAGTAGTACTGATACCCTATGCTATTGTAGCAGTACCCGTAGTCCCCGACGAGGTCGTCGGCGTTGTACGTTTTGCCACCGACAGGGACGGAGACGCTGGTGTTGCAGAGATGGGTGACGGAGTCTTGATTGTAAACCTTTTGTTCCGTCCAGGTTTGTGTGTTGTTGGGGAAATCGTAGGTGCAGTTGAACAAAAGATCGTCGTATTGATTAAACGAGGTGTGTTGCCAGAGGTCTCTTTGTTCGGCGGCGGTTACAGTGGTGCCGTTGGCGAATTTGCAGTCACCTATTTTGTTGATGTTAGTATGTCGAAAGATTCTCGGAGCAGCGGTTGGATGATGGGTGTGGGTATGTGAGGGGCAAGGTGGAGGACGACGACGTACAACTTTGCCGTCTCTTATCCGTAATATAGCCATAATCACTTTGCAGCTCATAGTCCGCACAGCCCGGTTGCTTCCACGTCTCGTTCTTGGTGCCCAAGATAACCCACGCACTTGATAATTGGGAAGCGGGAATGATGTTGTTCGACCCGTCGATGTCGAGCCACGCGATAGAAGTGCTGTCGTAACCTGTCATGGCGCCGAGGACAATGGGTACAAGAAGCACGTAACCCGTCGACCAAAACATATAGAAGAACAAAATTCGCGTCCGTATACTCTTCGCCGTCCATAGCTCTTTCGTCAACGCCCATAGACAGTGCAACCCGGGCCCTTCCATAGCAATCCTCTGGAAAATGCTGAAGCTCGCCGGATGTCGTTCGATCGCGCGTAGTAACGCGTCACAGAAGACATTGTACGTGGCCCACCACGCCAATGCCTGTGCGCCTTTCCCGATAAGCAAGTCCCAGAGGATGTCTATCGTCTTGGCCTGTGAGAAGGTGAATTGGCCCCACGTAGCGTCCAGCGTAAAGAGTTTCTCTATTCCCGTCACCGTTGCATTCTGAGGGTCTCCGCCGATCGTGTTTCCGCATGACAAAGTCTTGTCTGCGAAAATGTATCTTATCGGTGTTACCGTGCCCGCTGCAAATATGGGCAGGATGACCCAGCTGAGCAAGAGGAGAAAGGCGTAGAACTGCTTCTTCGACCACCGGAAGTGTTTCCATAGCGGTGCATTCTTGATCGTCCGCGCGGTCCATTTAGTCGCGTGCCAGATACTCAGACAGGCGTCGTGCAACATCCAGGTCCAGCGTACCTTCCATCGCGGTTCCGACAGCCAACCTCGCGGTGTGCATGTTGCCTCCTGCACGCTGTCATTACCCCAGGTTTTGACGCGTTCATGCTGTATTGCAGGCTTTCCTTCCGAGAACGATTCTTGCGTTGAGTTGACAGATGTACACGCAACTTTGATATCCTCCTCTTTCGCGGTCAAAGCCTTCTTATCATTGTATCTCAACTCCGCCATCTCGTATCAATGCCAGCAAAGGCGACGCGAGATCGCGGTTAGTGCATTCGTATGCGCAACTCGGTGTCGAAGAAGCGAGGACGGTGGTGGCGGAGGGGGCCAGGGAGGTAGTTAGGCAGCCCACACGTACGCAGTTCGCATTCGTCTCGAGGGAATAGAGAACCGTCGAACAGAAGTAATTCGGCGAGACCTACGCGTCGCGGGATGCCTGAGCGGAATTACCCCGGGCTAGACCCGTTCCTTGGTCGGTTCAGTGCTTCGCTGCATGGATGCCTGTGCTATGTCTGCAGGTGTCGTCCCGGAGAGTTAACACCTGCGCACGAGCACGGAAAGAACTCCTACTCTTCCCCATCATCCTGCAAACCATTCTTCCGCAGTAAGCTACAGTGATCTGTAGGACCCAGTGGCAAACTTCGTTCATTCGATGGCGTGCGGTTGCACACCAGAATCGTGTGCTGTCGTGCGACCAAGTTGGGGGACGCACGCCGGTCGTAGGAAGAATTGGGTTCCCCAGCACGATGTGAGGCTGTGTACTTGCTCACTAGTCCCAGAACAGCTAGCTCCAGGGACATTTCCTCGGCTAGTCAGGAAATGCCCTGCATTTTTCAAGGCAGACACGAAGTGAGATGGAGCCCAGCTGCATTTAGCGGACCGGCGTAACATGGTAAAAGCTTAAAGATCGACAAACATGAAAATGCTATGAGCCCCTAGACTCTGCCCACGATGTCACCGTCACCAACGCTATCCATGCTCAATCAAGGAAATCCACGATGCATCAACGACATCAACGATGGATCGAGGACATCAACGTCACCAACGCTATCAACTATCAACCAACGACATAGTGCTCGTTCCTTCTCCATCGCGTAGCTTCCGCTTCCGTCCGACAAAGCATTGACTATGAGCTTTCCAGGACAGCCGCGATACCAACGAGAGGGCCGTCGCGTAAAATCATGCAGCATATGACAGCTCATGCGATGATGAATGAAAGGCTTCTCACGACATCCTCACTTCACAACCTCAATCCAACAATTCCATTCCATCAAATATCAGTATCAATAATTTCGAGCACCAGGCCCATCCCCTCAAGGAGAAAACAAATGGAGAACCCTTTATGTATACATCCAAAACGCCCATTGAGACACGCACATGCCCCACAAGTACACTCGTCATCTCTCTCCCTCACAACTCACACTGAAATATCTTGCTCAACTCCCCACAGGCGTCCCACTCCGACTCAGCACACTAGCCGAACTATTAGTCCGCAGTACTGGCGTCGCACTCCTACTGCGCTCTCTCTCGCGATCCCTCTCCTCGGTTTTGACCCGCTCCCTCGCTTCCTCGACAAGACGCTTAGCCTCGCGTACATTGCGCATAGTCCTACTAAGCTTGCCCTCCTTGCCATCTTGGATCTTCTGCAGTTCACCTCTCGCTTCGATATCTTCTTTAGTCTTGGTAACGAAAGACTTAAGGCTGACTTTGATGTTCTGACGTAGGTCCTGGCCTTCATCGAAGATGGCGTCGCTGTCGCGGATGGATTTCACGTTTTCAACGCGGCGCGTTAGGTACAAGGTAGGACGGCGAGCGGCGGCGGAGGCGGCAGCGGCGAACTGTTCGCGGCGTTGGGCGATGATGCGTTGGACTTCTTCTTCGTAAGCGGTCTCGTAGACGTTGATGTCGACGTTGGAGGGGGATTCGGAGACGATGCAGCCGTCTTCGGGTTCGGGGAGGAAGTCTTCGCCTGTGCCGATGTTGAGGAAGAGTGTGTCTTCTAGTGGGTTGTGTGCGTGGCCTTTGCCGAGAGGTGTGGTTGGCGCTGATGATGAGGGGGCGAGGCCACCGGGAGTTGAGATGGAATGTATGGGCGCTGGCCGTATTGACATGTTCTCGTGTATGATCTTCGCTTCACTGAGACCTGGAGCCGTCGGCGTCGTCGGACTGTTAGAAGTAGATCCCTTGCTGGCTGAACGCTTCCCTGCCACCTCAGGTCGGAGACCAGGTTTGGTGTATGCCACGTCGTCCATGTTATGGGGAAGTCTCTGGCTCTTTTCGTCGATTTTGATCTGGTGGTGTACACCCTCGGAGGAGAGTGCGCTTTCAACTGGTCGGCGGTCGTGTGTGTCTTGTGATTTTGATTTGCGTAGTGCTGATGGTCGCATGGACATGGGCGGCTGAACAATTCGCGAGGCACTGCCCAGTATACTTTCTATGCGGTCTGGTCGCCGTCTGAAGAGCAGCTGCTTGAACCGCTTCACTGCCCGTACCTATGCAGCTGTTAGGACGAGAATTTCCACGATAATATGATACCAATGCTTTCGCATGCGATAGGGAAGACGTGCACCTACCACTGTTACCAAGTGACCCATGTTGCCTGTGATGGCAGCATTGACTTCCTCATCCGTAGGCGGATCGATGATGATGGCGACGTTCTCCGACTTTGCTAATAAAGGGTCCGTCCCTTGTCGCGTGACCCACGGGTGTTCCTGGAAAGTCAGTCTTGCGCGACGAAGTTGAGCAGTCAACTCACTCTGATCTCTTCCATGGTTATCCTCTTTTTGGGGTCCTTGTCCATGAGCCTGACCAGAAGATCCTTCAGCTCGGGATTGCATTCAGTCTCAAATTCCAATGGGTCCATCCGTATTGATTGGTAAAGCTCGATCATACCGTGCTTCTCGAATGGTATACGTCCGAAAAGAAGACAGTACAATGTGCAGCCCATGGACCATATGTCGGCAGCTCTTCCAGAAACATGACCATGTTTCGCAACGCACAGCTCCGGCGGCATGAAAGCTGGCGAGCCCGCTGACTTGGCCGTCTTCATCTCGCCTTCCTTGTCGAACATTTCGGATACGCCAAAATCGACAATCTTCAGCACATCCTCCTCGGTGATCAGGCAATTGTCGGGCTTGATGTCTCGATGGATAATACCCTGAGCGTGAACTGGCACGTGTTAGCATTGTCTCGCGAATGACCTAGCCTCACGTACGGTACTCGAGACCCAGTATCATGTCTCGGAACCAACACCGACACTGCTCTTCGCTGTAAGGGTCGGCGCGCTCCTCGAGACCAACTTGCATGACGACGCCCTTCTTGCACATCTCCATGACCATGTACAGCGAGTCCTCCTCTGGGTCGTCCAACACCTCGATCAACGTGACCAGGTTCGGGTGGTGTAGCTTCTTCATGATGGCAATCTCTTCCTTGATCAGCTCGAAAGCATTGTTCTCTTCGGTCACCGAATGCCGGTGCAGCGGTGAGTTGAAGCCTATGCCAGCAGGGAGCGCGCGCATTCGTTTCGCAGCGGTCGGTCGGCGCAGGAGGTTGGACTGAGCGCGTTTCCGCAGTCGGGATTTGGAGAATTCCTTAACAGCCTGCGCGTTGATGCGTCAGCGAGAGCCAATGCCTGTACCTCGAGGGAACCCGCATCGTCTTATTGGGGGCATGCGCCCGGGTGGTGCCTTCTCTTTCCGGTGGTAATCATGTCGAGAGAGCTGGTATCCTCACATATTCTTGGCCATACTGGTCGACAGCGAGATGGACGGCGCCAAAGGAGCCGCGGCCAATCTCCTGCTTGACTAGGTACTGGTTGATGCGGTGTTGGGCGCTGCCGTCATCTTCGCTGTTGCTGTACTCGGAGCGCGCATTGAATGTTTCCTGTGCTGTTAGAGGTGGCTCAGGGTCGCAGCTTCTTCATTCAGTGGGTCGCACCTTCACACGTCTCGTCGAGGAAGCGGCGCGCTTGTGGTGTCGTAACGGGCTCTGGTATGCGGGTGTTGACCTTGTCTAGCATCAGCTCCGGCCAGGACCAGCACCTCCGCGGGGTAGCCATGGCATATCCCCGGGCAACACGCACATAAACTTGACGGGGGGCGGTCGTCCGGCCTCGCTGACAGCTGGGACTTCTAGGGAGGGTTGCGATGTGTAGATGCGCAGGTCGGATTCGGATGGGCGCTTGGGGGGAGGTGTGGACGAGGGCGTGGGCGGGTGTGACATAACTACCTCGCAGTCGAGGGCACGGCAGATGCTAAGTACGTAGTTGATAAGATGGACACGGGCCTAGGAGACGGCTAGGGAGAAATAATATGGGGAAGTTCGGGGCGCTGGACTACGACGTTCCGACAGCCCAGGATGTCTTTTGCTCTGGGGCCCGACTAGGAGGGGAGCGATGCAGCAGAGAGGGGGCCTTTCCTGACATTTCTTTCAGCCTCACCCGTCGACGGGCAATCACATCACCCCCATCCACCCACCGCACTTGGCGCAAGCCGTCCCCACCGTCTAGGCTCGCCGTTACCCACTTGGCTAGTGAATTGCGTATACACAGCTACGGACGCTCCTCACAATCCACGCTCCTACCTTGGCGCCATATCGCGACGCTCAATTGGCATCGGCGACCACACCCGCTTCCCTATCTCCAACACCACAAGTAGAACGCCTCGCATACAACAACCTCGCCCCATTGTCGCATCCCTCCACGACGTCATACTCCCGCAATGGTTCTCTACAGCTTCTACATCTTCGATCGGCACAGTAAGTCGTCATGTGAAGTTGCGATCACCGCTTTGTACACGCGCTGACCGCACGTGCAGCCGAGTGCATCTACTCGCGCCGCTGGACGCCCGCCCGCCCAACCTCGTCCTCGTCCAAAGCCGCCGCCCGCCCGCCGTCTGGCGCCTCCATCGCGAGCAATGGCGACGTGGTTGCTGCCGTCCGCAAAGGCATGTCGCATTCCGACGACGAGAAGCTCGTCTTTGGCCTTGTCTTCTCCCTCCGCAACCTCGTCACCAAGCTAGGTGGCGCCGACGACACGTTCCTTTCGTATCGCACCGGCGAGTACAAGCTGCATTACTACGAGACGCCCACGCGCATGAAGTTTGTCATGCTCACGGATACAAAGGTTATCAACCTAAGACAGTATTTGCACCAGATCTGGGCCAATCTGTATGTGGAATACGTGGTCAAGAATCCGCTTGCGCCGACGGAGCACCCCGGCGGCATAGGCGTTGCGAATGAGCTGTTCGAGCGAGGGTTGGAGGCCTTCATCACAGCGGTACTGCCAGTATGAACACGATACCTTGATTGGACTAACAATAGCAAGAGCAAGCTCGGGTAGAAAGTGATGGCACACGGCGCATCAAGGGTCTAGGAAGGCCGCCAAGTGTGTTGAGATAATATAGCTATAGCACCCTGAACCACGGCCACCCCTCACGCGCACTCACGAGAACGTCTTCACGCAAGCAACCCACAAAAAAGCTCTGCGGTCTTCACATGGCAACCGGCCGAACAAATGAACGAAGGACCGACATACACACAAGCTTCGAGCACACCGGGAGCAGCCGAGCTACCATGCATCCCCGATGCTCCTCGCCCCACATTCATGTACACAGCCTCACTCCAAGGCCAAACTACATTGCGCTATCTACGCAGCTCCATGAGCTTAGCTTGAGTAGGCGTATCCTCCGGCGCGAGCTCGCAGCGGGGTGCAGACACATGGCATATCAAGATAGCAAAAGAAAATAATACTTTACATGTACTCAGAACTTCACTTCATGAGATCTTGGTCCTGTGTGCTTGAAGCTGACGTGGGACCCGGTAGTGTAAATGCTGAGAGTCTTTTTGAATACCAGGCTGGCACTATTAGTGGATAGTTGAGTAGAGCGGCGAATAGCCGTAGTGGACTTGGGAAAAACGTCGGGTTTGACTGATCGGGAGAAGGACATGTCGTGCAGAGCTATGGTTTTTTACAGTCGCTCGCCGCATGGCTGTAGAGCTCATGGTTTTGAACCTGGAAGGTGGAAATTGGGAAGAACTTGCATTTGGCGAAGGTGTGAACACTTGGATGCTGGCCATGGTTTGAACATCCAAGAATTTCAAAACAAGAGGAGACAGCCACTTTTCCAATTTGACCCGGTTATGGCCTTTTGCGGAGAGGAGCGGACAGGAGAAACAAACATGCCTGCTTTCTGAACGAGGTTTATAGTCGTTGAGGACTATAGCCTATGGAAGAGCGTTGATCTTTTGGAGATGGGAGGCGAGAAGACGACCACAACTCTCCATGCCGGCCTTGCAACCCGAATTCGAAGCTCGATCATTTCCTGGACTGGCGGTGTTTTGGAAAGAGAGGAGGAAACGGTCATACCCAGGTCAGCTTCGCTTTTTGAGTATCATCAGAAGATGCGCGGAGGGGGGACGGGCATGTTGCAACGACATGGTGATCTATGGTCGGTTTAAGTAAGGGTGGAGAAGACGTGTATTCCTTGAAGGTGGGGAGTGCGAGAAGAGGACCAGTTCTCCTCATCAACTGTGTGAATGAGGGTTTTGGAGCAAATCATGCGCGGATAGATTTGGGTTTTGGAAGACGAAGGAAGTCATCTTAGTGGTAGTGAGAGTTTTTGGATGTCGGTAGGAGGAACTTGGAGGAGGAACGATCATCCTAGAAAGAGATGGCGCTTTTATGGTGGTAGTCGAGTAAAGTCGGGAAGAAGACACATGGTCGCGTTCGCGTTGTTATTGCGAGAGAGACAGCGGCGCTCTCATGATCTTGAAAGCGCAGTGTTTTCGAGGGCGGCCCAGGTCGTCATGAGAAGACACCAATAGTCTTTTAAGAGAAAGGGGGAAACAGAGACAGCCATCAATTCGAAGCTCGGCCGCTTTTGGAGTCCCGAAGGAAGAAGTGTGGAATGAAATACGAGAAGAGAGGTAGTAGGTGGTGTTTTTATACACCCGCCAAGAGCCCCCGCGATGCTCATAGCCTTTCGAAGTTTTCTTTTCGTGCCCACATGTGGTCATAGTATATGCATTTTTGGTTTGGTAGGAGCAAGAAGCCGGTCTTTCTCATATCGATCTCGATGCCCAGTTTCGGATGCTGATCATCCAAGAGTCCGTCTACATTTTCGGAAGAGGGGAAAGAGGCACACAGTCATGCGTTCATTATCTCTTGTTTTAGAGGTACAGAGATAGAATTGTGGAAGATGCGAGAAGAAGACGAGCGATGGAAGTTATTTATATACATCCGCTGAGGCCCCACATCGCCCCATAAGAATGAATCAAACAAGTTTTGAGTCCACATGTGTTTTAGGAGTTGAGAGTCTTGGAAGATAGACGTGAGAGGGAGGTCTTTCTCATTTCACTGTCGCAGTTACTTTTCTGGTGCCGATCATGCATAAGTCATGACCGTGTTTTGAAAGACGGGCCCAGCCATCGATGTTGTCAGTTCCCTCTTTTTGGTGAATTTCAGAAAGAAGTGTAGACAAGTGTGGTAAGGAAGCAGTGCCGCAGATCAGACTTTATGTGCATACTCAGCGCAGATCCGCTCGTTGGTTATGTAGATGCGAGTGACAGGCTTTTATTCCGCATGGCAACGGACGTGGGCGTCTGGAGATGATGAGAAGGAGAAATCGACCTCACTCATCCGGACGGTCAACTTGAGTTTCGAGTGCCGATCATGATATCCGCGGGTGACTGTTTTGAGAGCCGGGCGCAGCCATGGTACATTGAAGTCTCGGTTTTGGTGGATCGCAGGAAGAAGTACGAAGAAGTTTGGAGAAGAAGACAAGCCGTGCAGCCATGTTTATATACGCAGCCGGCGCGTCACTGCTCAGTGCTCAGGGCGGAGTCTTCTTGTTCTTTTCGGTCACATATTGATCAATTGGTCCTTGATTTCGATAGTTTAGAACCAGTGGTCCACCTCATGCATTCGGCTCTCATGGTTATGTTTCGGATGCTGGCCATAAATCTCAATCGCGGTTATTTTGGATAAGGAAGAGAAGCGCAGAGCCATGACATTTAGCTCCATGCATTTTGGGGATCTGGCGGGGGAAGTGCAGAGAGTTGTAGAAAGAGGAGGATAAGTCCCAGAACCGGAAATTTATACGTAGAGCTGGCGGACTTCCCAGTGCTCATTTCTGATCTTGTACATGGTTTCAAGACATCGTGAGCAGTGTTTGGCTTTTCGAAATCGCGATTGTTATTGACCGGATCCATGATCTCGCTCATAAATCGAATGTCTCTCGACTTCAGTCATCGGTGATTGCGTTGTCTTTCTGGTAGAGAAGGGCACACCCATGAGGTTGGCGGCTATCAACTTTGGAACTTCGCGGTATGAGTGCGAATGACAGTGAGAAGAACAAGAAGAGCCGTCGATCTTGTATTTTATAAGAGGACGGCACCGTATCCATCGCGACAAACACCGTCGACTTCCGCACATGAAAGCCTAAACTGCAGCTTTTTGTATTTGCATACGACAGTGTGATTTTGCTCGTGTGATAACTTCTTTCATGCTTTGACGATCGTTATATGATGGGGGCTGTGCTGCTTTGGAGAGAAGAGAAACCCATGAGACGGATTCTGGGCATTTTGGAAGCCGAACAGGATGATTGTGGTGGAGAAGAGAGGCCAGGAGTTATCGTTTTATACACAAAATGCGTGACACCATGGCCGAGCGCAACGCCAGCTTCTAGACATCGGCGCTGTCGTTTCTTTCTTCCAGGATTCCAGGCGGAAGGACGTTCCTACTCATAAATTTGTTTTCCGTCTTGTTTTGGCGTTTGTCGTGACAATCCCAACCGGTGCCTTTCGGCGAGGAGAAAAGGACAGACATAACAGCGTAGACTGCTGTTTTTGGTGTTTGAGAAAGAATAGTACGGAGGGGAAGAAGAGCCAGAAGCTGTAATTGATATGCACAAGATGAGTGGAGCCATCCCGAACTTTAGGACCTTTTTCTGCACATCACGATGCAGGCATCGGTTTTAAGAATTCGAGCAAGACGTCAATCTCACTCATAAGTGGTTCGTATTATGCTTTTAATAACTGCCATAATACCGGTAACTGATAGGCTGGCAGGGAGAAAGCAGCCATGTACGGGAGCTTCTCAATCTTTGGTTTTCGGTATTTCGTGAGAAGGAATGTAGAGAGGAAGTGATAAGATCGTAAAGAGGTGTTTATATGCGCGTACAGCGAAGACTCTCACCGTGCTCATCCCATTCTTCAGCTTTATATTCTTGTACATTGTCGTCAGGTCGCAGCTTTCGAGCTGAGAGGCCACTGCTCGGTCTGCTCATACGTACGGCAGACGCAGCTTTCCGGTTCTCGTTATGAGGAGGCGCCAAGGTATTTTTGGAAAGCAGAAAGCAGACATATGAGTGAGCTCGCCATCTTTGAGAGTATCTGGGGAAGCGTACGGAAGTAGGAGTCTTGCAGCTCGCGCATCATATAAGTCGGCAGGAGAAAGACGACGATTGGGTGCTTACTACCAGATCTCGGGAGGTAGGTTCTCTGCACATATCTAGCTTTTCCGAGTGTTTCGCATGTACCAGCGGAAAGTCTTTCTTTCTCATGAAATAGAGTTCTCCTCTTTTCGAATTCTTGACATCTCAAACGATGGTTGCAGTTTCGAGAGAGCAGAGAACAGCCATAGCAAGATCTTCAGACGCTTTGGAGACCTGTCAAGGAAAGTGTGGAGTGAGGATGTACAGCTGCAGGGTGTGATTTATATACACCGGCGAGGACGGGAAGAACACCACGTGCTCATGTAAGCCAAGTAACACGACTTCAGCATGTCGTAGACTCTAGGTAGCTTTTAGGAGTTTCCAGCGACATCAGGGCGCAGTATGTCTCGTTTAGACCAGGAACTTCCAGGTTCTCGTCATCCCGGTCTCAAGAAACTGTTTCGAAGAACAGAAGACAGCCATTGAGGAAGTGCATGTGTATTTCAGGTATGCCTGGCGGATGATAGAGCGCAGGAAAGAGGAAGGTTTGGTAGCAGAAGGCCGTGGTGATATACGCCAGCAGCGACGAAGGCACGAGTACTCATGGCAAAGTCTACTTTGGGTTTCGTTCATGCGTCGCTCACCCAGCTATTCCATATGTTCCAGGGAAAGGTCGGACTTTTTCATGACGTCGTTTTCGTTCGGCTTTTTGGACGCGCATAACATCCTGACATATACTTTTCAAAAATAAACCACAGCCATCCCTTGAGAAGCCGACGTTTTGGACAAAACTGAAGGAAGTGGGTAATTAGAGGAGAAGGATAAGGTCGGCGGTCGTGGTTTATATACGCTGATGAGG